TTTTTTTTTTTTGTTCAGGCTTTCCCAGCGCTCCCATCTTCGTCTGCTGGGCTATGGAACGCCCTGTGAGCATGAACTGTTGCCGGCATCTGCAGTGTATCAGACACTGCGCATGTATCACAGCTCAGTGACTCAGCATTGTTTGCCCGGCTTGTAAGCGATGCAAAAATTCATAGGAAGGTATGACACAGGAAAGTTAAGGGCGTAACTCAACGCAGGGATATTTATTGGCAATCAGCTCCGGGAAAGGGGCCGCGAAATTTCGTTACGAGCTGACGCATCCCTGAGGGTGAACAAAATTCTAGGAGCTTTTGCAGTCTCCACTTTCCTCCTTCGCCGAGATTGTGGCAGCTATGACATAAGAGTGGTACAAAGGTACACTACTCGAGCGCGTTCGACAAGCTAATGGTTAATCCCACTTGTAGATCTGGAAGGGTTTCTAAAATTCGCGAGAGAGGCGAAAAGTCGCTCCGTGAGACGCGCTCCGACTTGACGAGCGGAAGATGAAATAAACTTTTTGAAGCGACCTGCTGGAGAAAGTGTGTCGTTCAAAATGGCCGCTGGTCGAACTTGTCTAAGCTCGAACGTTTCGAGCCGACTGAAATCTCTGACGACCTATATCTACTGTCGCTGTCCTGCTGCGGAAGCAACACGCGACCGTGCGTGCGACACACGTCGGGCGCATTTGCGGTGTCCCTGTCAGAAATTAAAAGGAAGACGTCTGAATTGGCCACTGTCCCATAAAGTTTGGCGGAGCGGCGCGGCACACATACCGATCGCCAACGGTGTAGCTCAGATTTTTGGTAAGACTTTAGTAAACACAAAAGGAGAGCGAACTATCGCTTGCACGGTCGTATACTAGTCTGTTCTTACTTTATGGCATGGGAAAACCCAGGTGGCATGTAGTGGAGAACAATCAGTTGCGGCAAAATAAACGCGCCCAAACTTGCGCCTGCTACCTTCTTCTGATGCCGTTCCTTTTCTCGTTCTTCAGTTCAGGTCATTGCACACGATTTGCCAAGACCCAGTCTAGGCTCCGCACCCCCGATCCACTTGAGGCACGAGCGTTCGAGCCGTTTTAACTCCGTGTAAAAGAACCGACGGAACCGGACAGATGTAACTCGAAAGGTCCGGCTAGGTTCAGCGACAGCAACTCGAATGCGCACCGCCGAGTGAAAGAAACTCACGTAAGGCGCCTCTGTAGACATCCATCAAGGTCCCCAGATTTTCACAGAAAAACTTCGGCGGTATTAGAGCGCTCCACGGGGCGAGTGCGGCCATAAATCTGGTAGCTGCGGACGATGACAAACTACAGCCGGGTCTGCCACATAAAGATGAGCAAAAGATGCGCACTTCAAAAATGACGTTTTTTGCGCGCTCCATATCTGCGGGGGGAACTCACCGTAAGTTTGGTTTCGGGTATACGGTGCGACCGATTCACATGAGACGCATAAGTGGTGTCACACTTTTGTTCTCTCAAACGAGTTTCTCGCTTTTAAGCATGAGGTGTGTTTTCTATGAATGAAGACCAAGCTAGGTCCATGTGTGACCAACCATTCTATCAGATGTACAACATCGTGCAACTTTGCAAATTTTGTTTTAAAAACAATCATATAATTTAATAAGACAACAAAAAACGTTTAAATTGAGTTCAGTGTATTCCATCAGCTGTGATCGGTCACTCTAAATAAAATATCCCGTACACAACCGATTGGTTAATTGCGTCCTTTAGTTCCAGCTACGAAGGTTCCCTTCCATATATAATGAGCCTTACTTTGTAAACACAGCCAAAAACAAAAAGAGAGACGACAAGACTTTTATAAAAGTCATTCAAATGCTCTATTGGGGCGGGCTAGTGTCACGAACGTGATATCCATTTATTAAAAATGTAGAAATTAATGTTTCATAGGTATACATTATGCATACAAATCAAAGTTTAAAGTGATACCTGGTGTGGAATCAAGCACAACAGGTCAATTGGCTGGATCAACCTTATAGATGATACACCCGTTCCTTGGTAAAAATAAAAAAAAAAGAAAACGCCCTAAATTACTGCAAAGGCTAGCCTTATTCCGTCTCAGACGAGTGTAAGGCGAGTGCTTAACCAACTTAACTATGTTAAAATATAGGTTTTCGGTCATGCATACAATTTTTTTTCCGATTCTTCCCAAAGTCGAAACTGTTTGTATGTACACTGAATTCAATGTTTATCATTTTTGTTTCTGAATATTTTTTGTCCTTTCCTCAATCTTGTCTAAGGCTGTGTACCTTTCCAGTGCCATCTTATTTCCTTTCTCTCTTTTTGTGGTGCTTTGCAGGCCACGATAACAATTGTTATTGATGTTTGCACGAAGCTAAAACATGAAGCGTTAACTGATGTAATACTTTTTTATTTAGTAAATTCCTTACATAAAAATAACGCAGTCGCCTTCGGAGCATCACGGGTGCTAGAATTGTGGGTTGTCTGGAGATACGAATCCACGAATTATTTCATTTTGTATATTTGACAACAGCAAACTAAACGCGAAGACACAATGGACGGATCGCATTTTCGAGTGAGCCTTCGAAAGTCAGTGTGGTTTTCTAAATTCGTGTTGATTATCGATTGAAAACGCCGTGTTTAATAATGTATGCAATTTCCACATCTTAATCACGTTTTTTTTTTTATCTTGATATTTCTATTCATCTTTGCCGGGATATTTCAGACCAACAAAAGCGGTTTTGTGAGTTATTGCGAAAAATAGAGGACGTATGTTTAAGGAGAGCAAACATTATGCATTATTCTGCCATTGCGAAAACAGTCTCATTCAGAATTACCATATTACGGTTGGAAATAACCCGTTTCCAAATGGTGAAAAGGTTTATTTCAGTGTAGTTCGTTCCTCGAAGAAAATAACATTTTAAGCCTCGCCTATTTTTAGCGGCTCCTGATTTTTTTTTTGTTGTTGTTTCGTTTGTGGACAAGACCAGCATAAAAGGGAAATCGATGACCGTGACTGTTAACACGCCGCCGCTCGGAGCACGCAAAAGATCTGCTCGCGCTACAGAACTCAGGTACCCTGTGCTCAATCTCCAACCCTGGACATTTCGACCTGGATGAGCATAATACCAGCGTGCGATCATGTATCACTATTTTAAAATGTGCGTTAAAAAACCCCATGCTAGAATTCGTGCTGCAGTGGCAATATCTCTCGTTGCCAACGGCAGGAGACGCCCATTGGTGCTGAATAACTTCCTGTTTTAAAATACAAACATATCCATTACTTATACCTCAAGCGTGTTTGAATTTGTGGCAAAAAACTAAGACTGAATGAGTGAACAAACGAACAAATGCGCCGAAAAAATACAGGCACACAGACGAAGGGAAGCAGGACAAGGCGCACGGTCAACTGAAGTTTGTTGAAAATTCACACGTTATATAGCCACAAAAACCCTGTTTATGCTATCTGCTCAGCTCGCGTTTCAAAAATGCAAACTCATTTGTAGATAAAGATACGGACGTGTCACTTATACATTTCTTCTCTCTGGTCCTAATTTCAAATGCTATTTGCTAATGCTATTGGCATCTGAAACTAGGATCAGGGAGAGGAAATATATAAGTGGACACGTCCCTATCTTTATCTGCAAATGAGTTTGAAGTTTTGAAACGCGGGCTGAGCAGATAGAGGAAACAGGGTTTTTGTGGCTATATAACGTGTGAATTTTTGATAAGCTGCAGTTGAGAGTGCGCCTTGTCCTGTTTCCCTTCGTCTGTGTCCCTGTATTTTTTCGACGCTTTTTGTTTCCAATGAACCAACTGGCCAAATTTCCACTTTATTGTGAATGAGTATGCTTGTAAAAAAAGAACTCGCATCCCATTATGGTAGTTCCTGACCAAATTCTTGCTATTAGAATACGCCGTAGGCTCTCACGGACTAGAGTCCCGTTTTGACACCACGTGATAAACATCGGCCACACTTGTCGGTGCCATAACACAATAAACTTGCCATACAACATTACCTCCGTGAAGCCTTTTGCTGTCACTTGCTTATAGCAGTAATTTTCTCCTAGTCAGGCTTCGATTTTTCCGTCAAGCTGTAGACTCGGTAACCTATAGTGAGACTCCTAAACCGGATTCTTCTCTTCCCTCATTTTATACATTACATGCACGGCCGCTTTGGATTCCCCTCATGTCCTCACTGCCAGGACTACCCCTCCATTGTACACATGCTCTGGCATTGTCTCCAAACCCAATCCTCCCTCACTTCCCTCCTCTCCACTCTCTTCGCCTCCTCGCGACCCCCGACTGGGCAGGCTGGTTCGCTCCCCCTCCCCAACTCGTTGGTGCACTACTGCCCCTACTGGTTCAGCACGTCCGTGCTGTGCTGGGGGAACAGTAGTGACTCGAACCGGGCACCGGGCAAAGGTGAGAACAATAAAATGTCCCCTCTCTCTAAACCGGAGTAACGGATAAAAGTAGGTTACAACGGCAGTCGCTATCACCTTTAAACTATTATCGTCGACACTATATGTTCATTGGCCCAAACTGAAAGCCACAACAGTAATTCGAGTTTACTTCGATGGCAACCGTTCAACCCCTACACAGCAATCTACACAAAGCGCGATAAACTAAAATAAGAACCTTATCGTACTATTTTACGCAAGCATTTGTATTTTAAAAACAAAGAAATGGGAGACAAGGAATATAAAATATTGGGTGATTTAAACGAATTCTGAAACTATGATCATGCGGCCACTCGTGATCTCGGCTTCCACGGGTCCTTCTTCGTTGGACCGATAGCTTAGGTGTGCTCGCGCTGCCAAAATAGAAGTGGTGGCGCTTGGGGTACTCGGTTCTTTTGCAAGATCACCTTTATGGTTTGCGTTCCTGACGGCCGCCATGGCAGCTGAAGCAAACAAGGACATCTGGAGAATCGGAATACATTGGCTACCTCATGGAATCTGCTTTTTTGTCAACTTCTTCTCCGCTCCTGAGATGCGGTCATTGTCGACTGTACACTATGGGTAAGTGAATTCTCCATCCCCTCTTTAGAGGTGATTGGCGGAAGTCAATTTCTTACCTTTTCTGGTGCGAATTTAAGTCTGCTGGTACGTAATGGCATATGTAAAGGCTTCCGGTCGTTGTTTATGTGTGGTGCGACGCCTATTTTACACATGTTCGATTGCTTGCGCTAGCTTGCGTCCGGCGCTTCCCTTTCCTCTGTGTGAGCGCGTGTTCCCGAGGCTCCTGTCGTCACCGCCGTCGAGTGTATATTTTATATAAGAATCAAGCATTGTCGAGGCCATCGGAAAATTCAGTTGATATGTTAAAATCATTTTAAATTTTTGGTAAGTTTTGTGATCCGCAACGACGCAATTGCAGGTGTATTTGTCGGTTGTACCTTTGTTCACTTTTCGCAAATTTTGCCGCAGTCAATGGTATTGCGGCATAGGCCGATAAGAACGTCGACGAAAAAATCGCAAAGCAGGAAACGTGGCCAAACTTGTATTCCTTTCTAATTTATTTGTTCAGCGGCGGTGGGCGTCAATTCGGAATTTTGTGTTGGTTTTTCTCAAACCCCCTTGCAGCCCCCTCAGTTCAGGATTAAGGCAACTAACATGATTTTATTACTTGGTGGCGGCGGAGTAAGTACGTTAATACTTCAGGCACTCGTACGAACATAATACCACAGGAAACACACTTATGATGAAACCTCGGAAACCTAACTAGTTTATGTGTTCGCCGGACTTCAGAACTTTAAGTTATTCGCCCGGTGAACTGTAATTAGTTTATTGAAATGTTGCGAAAATGAAAGATAATTAAAGTCAGGTGGAAGAAAACGATGACATCTACGTGCCATTCTAGCTGAATGGCTTGAAATATGCTCTTTTCTCACGATCCCCAGTCAGTGCAACTAACAGAAACTTGGTTACATGACATAATTCGTGACGATGAAATTGTTCCGCTCGGTTATCATTTGTACAGACACGATTGTGACTTTTGTGATGAAGGCGTAGTGGTCATTGCAAAATCTCATATTAATGTAAGAGTACTTGATCAGATTCAGAGCCCTGAAAGTCAGTTTTTGAGAGTTTCATTATAGAAGCTTAATCTCTTAGTATTTGCTGTATATCGAGTTTCAAACGCGAGAGATCTGTTTCTTAATAGCCATATGACCGTCAGCTGGCCTAGTATTGGAAAAATGTGATTATAACGGGCGCCGTTTATTTACCCCATTTAGATTGGAAAGAGCTGGCGTACGAAGCATCCAGCAGGAATGTTATTATGTTGGATATAATTTTTAGCCTTAAACGTCGACCAAAATGTTCAAGAGCGCACTATTGAGTTTGTTATTTAGGCCTTCATTTTTGTTCTTCAAATATTCTCTGATGGTTTGCTTAGTGTTAAACTCGGTATTTCAGCTCATCGCCTGTTGTCTTTTTGTTGAACTGCTAAACAGATTAGACGCACCAGGAACCGATAAGCTGTAAATGTTGAAGAATTTGAAAGAGGTAATGACGAAAACATTATCGGTTACCTTCAGGGTGAATTAAATGTTACCTCTGAGGATAATGTTTGTAGTTTATGGGAAACGTTTAAAGATGCTATAAAAGTTTCTATTCGACATTTTGTCCCTTCCAGGAAAGTACGAAAGAATCACCAAGACTTTTTGGTTATTTGGGGAGTTATTTAAATTAAGCGCAAGACAAAGCGATGTAGAAGGCACCATAACACTTCAACAGGTGGTGAGGGTAAATCTCGCAAAAACAAAATATTTTGAGGTAACGGTTCCTAAATGTATTAAAAGTGATCCGCAAAACGTTTGGCGTTATCTTGGACAAAGAATGGAGTTGCCGGAAAAACTAAACATTGATGAGAAGTTTGAAAACGAGGATAGGAAATAGAAAACGCTTTCAATCGGAAATTTCAAAGTATATTTAATGAAAAAATTACCGCAAGGCACAAAACCAAACTGTCAGTTGTAACGAAGTTTTGTCCATTTAGACGGAAGGGGTTTTGACCAAGCTACGTAAGCTGAACGTTAAGAAGAGCCCTGATCCGGATGGTCTCGCCATTGCTCTTTTTAATGTGCTACGCCGAGGAATTGGCAACTTTTTTAGCTACAATATTTCAAGTTTCGTTGCTCAACGCCGGAGTGCCTAACGACGGGAACAAAGACTAATTGATACCGATTCACAAAGAAGAAGATATATTTGTAGTGTCAAACTATCGGCCAAAATCAGCGACTTGTAGTTGTTGCAAGTTACAAGAACACGTTGTGACCGGCTATATTAAAAGTGTTCATTGTTTAAACTTAAAATGATATCTTATCACCTAAGTGGCATAAATTTAGCATGGGAATGCCTACCGTCACCCAACTCATAACGACAGCTCATAAGTTTTCCTGGACACTCGGTGACTCAGAGCAAGTTGATGCAATTTTCTCAAATTTTTTCAGAACTTTGTCAAGGTACCACATGGAAAACTGCTATATAAGCTAGATCGTTTAGGCTTGCTTTGTTAAGCTATTTGAATAGCAGTATATTTAAGAAAAATAACTCAGGTAATTGATGTTAATGGTCATGTGGCCGAGGTTCTTGCTGTCACATATGGTGTATCTCGAGGGAGTGTGTTAGAAGATTTGCGTTTCCTGATATACGTTAATGATCCCTCTGAAATAGTGCCGCAGTCGGTTTCGATATGATTGCTCTCAGACAACTGTGTTATATTTAAAGACATTTACTCTGCTAACAATCAGGTTGCACTTCAAGAATCTATCCTCAAAATTGAAAAATAATGTGAAAATTGGGACTTGAACTTGAATACCGAGAAGACTGCGGTTTCGAGAACTACAAGGAAAAGAAATATAAGCTCACTTGCGTACCGCTTACTGAACTGTTCTTTTCCAAAAGTTGGTAGCTATGCATATTAAGGCGTCACCATTACTATAGTTTCAACATGGTCAACACGTAGCTCGAATATTTGTTCCGCAGCACTCTGTACACTGTGTTTTCTAAGGCGTAAACACAAATACGTCCTTAGTAACATGAAGCGTCTTGCATAATAAAAATGTATTAGGTCCAAACTTGACAATGCATCAGTCATTTCAGACCCATATATAATATATATTACTGAAATTTGATAAACTATACATTCACAGGCTTGCACTCTACGTTTTCCAGGATTTTAGACGTCAAAATCCAGCATATCGCCCAGTCTGCTCTAGACCCGACCACCATTATAACACTCGTAATGGAATGTATGCACTTACAACTTAGGACTAACATGGACTCAAAAACACCGTGATTGTGCGGTTGCTCGCCGCACCATCGTTGCTGTTCAGCAGCTCAGACTCTCCGTGCAACGCTTATGTGCTCCCGGTCACAGCTTCGCAATACTCTGGGTACCCGGACACTCCGGAATACCGGGCAACGAACAAACTCACCACCTCACCCGCGCGCTCTTACTATCTGTGCTGGCCACAGCAAGATCCGAAGGCACACTCTGCCTTCCTCACGAAGAAGTAAAGTCCCGCGCGCTACCGCCCGAGCGAGCGAAAGACATATTCAAGGCACGGCACTACCGCAGAGCCCACCTCTTGGCTACCGCCAATCCCCTCCTTTCACTCTTCCCTCGTTTTCAACTCTCCTCTCGCTGGCACCTTGTCGCGCTCCGCCAAATTCAGACTGGGACCATCCTCACCCCTTACCTGCTACAGCGGTCCGGTCAGCCCACCAGCAGCCACCACGGAAAGTGCCGTGGTGCTCCAACCACCACCCCTCCTGGTGCATGCTAACTGTGCCATAAAAACGCTGATCTGGAGCACGTGCTCTGGGTCTGCCCGCTATACTCAGAGTCCCAGACCCGCACCCTGGCTACCATCCAGCAGGGTTTCAGACCTACCTCGCTGCATGCCTAGGCATGCCTGTACCCCTTCTCCCCCAAAGTGATTGCTATCGAGCTCTGGCGATCCCTGCTCGCGTACATCCAGGACCCTGCAGCTCCTTCTGTCGACACGCGACTTCAAGGCACTCAGCTTTCCACCACTGAGCACAGACAAAAGACAAAGCGTGAACCTACCCTATCCCGTGAACCCATCCTCTGACGCCGTCGCACCAACCGGGCCACCGTATAAGAATAGAGGCCCCCTGTCCCCCGCCCGTGTACTCTAAACCCTTTCACCGCAGCATTTCTTAATGCAAAAAAGTGAAATAAAGGTTCCCACTACCACCACCTTGCATATAAAATTTCAAGCTTTCTTAAAGGGTAACTACAAAGAAAAAAAAGTGTCATTTTAAACAGCCTAATTGAGACACTCATGTGCCAAAACAAATCTTCCGCAAAAAAAAAAAGATAGCAAGATTTACGCCGCAGGATTTAATTCAGTCGGAGTCCCAACCTCTACACATTTGGAACTCCCGCTCTTTCGACCCGCGCAGAGGAGAAGTACGCCCCGCTTCTCGCTCTTGGATTGACTTGGCTGCGGAGGTGAACGACGTACTCAGCGTGTCGACTTCCGGTGCGTCTCTTTGAAGATACAGGTATGCCAGATCTGGAGGGGGGGGGGGGGGGGGGGGGAAAGGGGGGGCGGGAATTGTGAGAGGTACCAAGCGCTACAGCTTCCTATGAAACCTCCTCCGAATTTACGGTGACCCGTGCTGGCCGCTTAATGAAAACTTCGTACCAGTGCTGCATCATCTGTAGGCAGAGTGTCGAACCGAAATCTTTATCGGTTCGGTTACGGTTCGGGTTCACGGCTTTCGGTTCGGTTCCGGTTCAGTTCCGGGGAGCAAAAAATAACGGTTCAAACCGGTCCGAACCGGTTCGAACCGGTTTGAACCGGTCCGATCATGGTTGCCGGTTATGAACCGGTCCGAATCATGGTTGCCAGTTATCTGAAGCTTTGTCTGAAATCACAGGGAACGCTTTTCCGTTCTCCCAAAATGTTTAAACAGTTTGCGACAAAGAAAAGCAATATTACGCGAGCTTCCTAACACCGAACCTAATGCTGAGGAAGTCACAC